GCTATAGCGCTGCACAGCAAAAACGCATAAAAACGGGAATTCTGGAGAAATTTCCGTAGTGCATTTTTCAATCCATTCGATACATCGGTCGAGATCTAAAACATCATTAATTCAACTTTTTGACAGCTCTTGAGCTTCTCGTGCCCTGTCTCGAGACGATATTTCGTAAGTTGGATAATTGTGTTGTCTGGACATCACTGGTGAGCAGCAAAATCACCACTTCGCTGGCAACGTAGTTCTTATTGCTATCACGAGATGCTCAACAACTTCAGTAGCCACATGAAGAACTGAGTTGCTCCTTATGAGCCCTTTATTGCAGTGTTTCATGGAGAAACCGAACAAATTTAGCAATTGTAGGGCTATTTTCCCTTCAGGTGCATATCAGCGCTTATCGTTATCATTTCATTTTAAACGGAGTATTGGTTATTTTATCTTTCAAACATATCTTCCTTGCATTCTTATTGTCATGCTTTCCTGGGTAAGCTTCTGGATCAATCATGAAGCCACATCAGCTCGTGTTGCTTTAGGTTTGTTAGTCATACTTCACTTTTACTAGCTCTGTTTGGTCGACTGTAATTTTAGCGTGTTCCAGCGAAAATTTATGAAGTTCGCATAAGCAAAAATAAAACGAAGGAGATTTCATTGCCGTACTCTATTGAACTGCTGTTTCATTATCGAGCCCTTTGCTTTATCGACGATTTGTTTGTTGTTCTTGTGGTGGATATGCTTAGCCCACTGCTGATCCTATCCGTTTGTTCCCTTGTTTCCGCTAGGTTATTCGGCAATAGGAGGGAAAGTTAAGCTGGTAAAATTTTCTCCAGATACAGACATTAATAAGGAAACTTCTCAGAGATTCAGCTGAAAACAACAGCATGGCTCTCGATTTTCGGTATATTTATATTTGGTATCTTGAAATAGCTCTAACTACATCTCATAGTCTGATCTTCCAGCTGCAGCTGTCAGCTTCTCCAGTTGTTTTGAACAGAGCTGCGTAGTCGGTGGTCAGCTTACTAACAAACATAATCTTTAATATATTAGATACAAATTTAACACATTT